AATTTCAATCTGCCAAATCAAAAAAAAAAAAAGTAAGGTAGGAAAACGTCGGAAGGAGAAGTAAAAAGCCACTGAGCACTGAACAAAATATGAGCTGAATTTGTATTATTTATACAGTTTTGTATTCTGCTTACTGCTGAGCACATGAAAGTTGAATATTCCCTGTGCTTTAGAACAGGGAAAAGTAACAGCAGAAACTGAAGGAGGATGGTTGGAAGTTCAGGTGGAAGAATAATTTATAATGGATAATTTATTCAACAAATTTTTTCCTCTCATCTCTTCAGAAATTATTCTAAAACAGATTGCTGTTTTCTCAAATTCACTTGTTATGTGGAATTATTTACTGAACAATTCTTTTAAGTTGTTTGTGAATTTAAATTGTAAAACCGTGGTATGCTTTTGATTTGATAAAAGAAGCTCCACAGAGCCCACTTTGTTGACCTGACTGGAGGGATGCTTCCTTCTCTGGTCTCCATCTGCTTCCACAGAGCTCCATGAAGGCTTGAGTTCTTCTCCAGTGGAGCAGCTTCCCAGAGAGGAGCTAAATGAGCATGTTTGGCACCAAGTCCAAATTTCTAACCATGTTGTTTCTTAATGTTCTGTCAAACCAGGGGTGAAAATGCTCTTTTAACCCTTAATGACAGTGACCTGGAAAGTCTTCTGCCTGAAAGATTGTTTATTTTTCCAGCCATTTCATCTGCTCTGACAGAAGTGTAATCGCTGTTTCCCCAGCCTGTGCCTTTCTGAAGCCCTTTAGCTTCTGCAGCCATAGCCACACCATTTCTGATCACTCTTTTCTCCTTCATCAGGTCTTTCTGCTTACCATGAATAATGGTTTGTGAGGTTTCTGATACCCTTGGGGAACTAGATACTGGTTTGAGTTGTGTGTAGGAGCTACTGAACATGCTGATCCTGGAGAAAGCATCTGAATAAGAAGTTTTTCCTCCTTGTCAACTGAACTAAAGTTGTTCCTTCCCTTATGGTACAATATGAGGAGAAGATGCTGTAGCGGAGGCACTAGCCATGTGGCTAGCCCACTTGCCAGGTGGATATTTTGTCACCATGCCATCAGCACTCATGTCCCCTTCCCCTAGAAACAAGAACAGTTGTGCCTATGCAGGCCTGAGGGTGAACTTGATTTTCAGCAGTGGTAGGGAGGGATAGAAAGCTTTTCCTGTGTATGTGCATTAATGATCCGTCTGCAGAATGTGCCAGTTGCCTTCCTTTGCGTAGGTTGGTAAGAGATCAATTAGAACAAGAAAGTTCACAGACCACTTAAGAAGCAATATTCCCCTTTTATCTCATCTCCTTTTCAGGTTTCTACCCTTTTACAGCTGTGTGGCTGCTGTGCTAAATGCTAATGTGAAAGTACTTTATCCAGTGCCAAGCAGACATTCTTGTGGAAATGAATTCTCCCTTCTCACATTAGTCTCCTACTTTCTCACTTCTCTACCTGGTTGATAGGATCCTCCCTTGGGATTTAGGGGCAATCCTTGAGGTACTTGGCCAGCCACCCACAGCTGCAGGCAGCCTGATGCTGCCTAGTTCAGAGCGGGTTTGCTGCAGTCACTTTATTTTTCCAGGCAGGCAAGGAATTAAATAGTCTTTTTTTGATCACAAAAAGGTGTAAGTGCCTGGTATTCTATCAGCAGCTTAAATGACTGAATAGACTTTGCTGGATAAAATATTCGTCAGGGTTTTTTTTTTGTGTTTTGTTTTGTTTTGTTTTTCTCCTTTCAGTCATTCACATTTGTTTGTGATTTCCCCCTGCCCTTTAAAACTAGCTCTTCTTGGTGATTATTGGTCTAATTGTATCTAGTCTATTTAGGTTCTTATATTGAGCTCATTGCTGTGGTGTCTGAACATCAGATCAATGCCGTGTAATTACAGTCACACAGAGCACAATCAACAATTATCAGTGATCAGTTTTCAGATCTTGCAACAAAGAAATGCTATCTGAGACATTGCTGCAGGATTTCAGATTTCCAAATATTTGCACTTCTAATTAAGCAGATGGAAGACCTGCTGGTAATGAGAAAGCAGGTTTCAGAACTTCTTCCATAGCTAATTTCTGCCCAGACCAAAATAAATTATGCTGCAACAATTCTTTTCCAAGGTAAATAACACACCACTTGGCAAAGTGCCTCACGACAACAAAAAAACCCAGAGAAGTGTTTAAAGGTATTGCACTCAGTGGGAGATTTTCACACCACAGTAATAAATGCAACACAGCAAAAACCTACAGCTAGCGGAAGGGAATGCTTTCTTATCTAACTGTTCTGGAGGATATTTGCTGATCAATCCTATGAAAGGATGATATGCTTCTGTGTGTGTCCAGGGGATGAAATAACAAGCCTGAAGGCAATAATGCTCTCATATCATGTTTGAGAATTTTACAAATACAGCATGAGGCTCTGTGACTCAGTCTGAATGGAATTTTTCTTAGCACATGAATTTTACATGATATTTCGATACTACCTCTTTTGGGCACTTTTCCTAACACAGTGCAGTGTTAGTTTTTTGGTGCTTTTTTATCATATTAGTAAATACCGTGACAGTTTGTGAAATGTGTGAGGAAAGCAAGCAGACCTGAAAATTTGAAAATTACAAGCACATTTGATTTGTCTCTTTTTTTTTATTTCTACAAACTTTCCAAGGTTTTTGTTTGGTTGGTTGGTTGCTTTTTTTTGTCTTTTTGTTTTGTTTTGTTGTTTAGAAGGTAAAAATTAAAAGCACCAAAGAAAATATAGAGCTTAGTGCAGTCTTCACATAAGTTTTGGGGTTTGTTTTCCATTTTTTAATTATTTTTTTTGTGCTCTGTCCTTAACATTTCAATTTTGCCGCTGGCTAAACAAATACCCTCATGTTCCAGATTAATTAAAAAAAAATAAAATCAAATAAATACCTTTTTTTTTTTTTTTAGCAACAACAAAAAAGCATTCCTTTTTGTTGTTTCCAAATCTCTAAAAGCAACAATTCTTGTCATTATCAAATTTCCATATAGAAAACTCGTATGCTTGTGGGGGTGTAATAGCACAATCTGATATTCTTGCAACACCGGTTTTCTATAAATAGGGAAATCTGTTATTTATCACTGGAACTATTCATTAAAATTAAAAAAAAAAAAAACCACCATTATGGGCATCTGTTCCTAGATCTTTAGTTGACTGACAGTTTTTAATCCCTTTAGCTAATGCTAAGTTGAACTTGCTGGAATCTCATCCTTTTCAAGGGATCTTTTCCACTTGGTCCTAATGTGTTGTTATGCCCTTTCTCATGATCTTTGGAAATTTATTTGTTTTTTAAAGTTTGACTCCTAGAGTCAGGTGAGTACATGAAAATTGCAGCATTCATTAAAAAAATAAAGGTTTTCACTGGACAGAAGAAAGCTGAAAATGAGACTCAAGACTTCAAAAGGATTTTAAGGAGAATACTTTTTTTTTTTTCAAAAAGACATAATTTTTAAGCCATTTTCATGACTTTACAGAGTCTGGTCAAAGTTTTTTGAATATTTGGATTTTGTAACAATTTTAATAACATGCTATTTTTATATTTGCAGTACTGTTGAAATCTTACTGATCTATGCCATAGCATTACATTTTTTTAGCTCTTTAGGATAGGGGCTACATCACTTCAGCATGTTTACCACCCTGTTGTTTTAAGCTTAAAGCATCCACTCTTGTCAATGAAGGTATGTAAGGTCAATGTGCATTGGACACCTATGTGTTTGCATTTGTACTTCATCTCCACATCTTAAATCCTTATATTAATATTTTGTCTGGGATTTTCATTACTTTTATCTCAAAAGAATATCCAATATCTCACCCAGTGGAGCAGCACTTACGTGACAGACAAATCCAGGTGAAAACTAGCAAAATGTTAAAGATTATTTTGATACCCTGCAATTATTTGTCACCTCTTGATACTTTTAAGGCTTCCATCCAACATTTGTCCTTTTAGTTCCTATAGTGAAGGTATCTAAAACTGCCTGGACTAATGCTGGTATTCACTGGTATGAATCTGCAGACAGACGGGGAGAGAATTTGTCCCTCTGCCTCTCTCCTGCTGATTTACGTGGATGGGGGTTTGATCACTTTCTGTTGTCAGCATTTGTTTTCTTTTCTACTTGAGGCATATCTTATGTGCAGAGTAATAAATAACGTAATTCCAGCTCTTATGGCTTCAGATGGCACAGTGCCCTCTGCTCGAACTCCTTGGAGAGAGAAACACTCCAGCTTGCCGTCAGAGTTTCATTTGCAAGCTTTACTTTGCCTTAGCCTTATTTTAAAAATTTCAAAGCTTTGCCTCCACAAATCAGGTTAAACTGTACATTACAAGGGAACTGCTTGACCTTGAAGCAATACTTTTTTGAGGCAGAGGTGATGAAGGGGTTGGCAGGCGGGATTTATTGTGCTCTGAGGAATGCAGAGGAAGCACATGAACATAAATATACAGAGAAACAGGAGCGGGAACCGCAGATAGATCTGGCAGATAAGACTTGGGCCTGTACCTGTAACTAGGTCAAAAGTGTGATGGTATCATCTCCAGTGGAAGTACAATTCAAAACCTTGTTTGGATGGTATATGATGCCAGACAAGCTTCATTGGACAGATAAAACATTATCACCATTATTCTGGTAAGACTGCAGAGTAAGTAGGATACTCAACATATATTATAGGCTTGAGAGGTCTGGGGCAAAATGTGTAAGGTAACTGGAAATACTGCACAAAAAACACTCTTACTGTACAGTGCCAGAGCTGTGAGGGGCTGCTGGATAAATGACTTAAAATGCTGTTCACTGAGGCTGGTGGCAGGGTTACATACCTGCTGAAGAATACGTAGATGTGACATATCTGGCCTTACTGGTTCTCTTCTTACCTTACCCTGGTTCTCGCTCCTCAAAGCAAGAGGAAGAAAAGAGAAGCAGAAAGGGTTGGATGCTGTTAGCTGGTAGTCTAACCATAAGAAAACCAAGTATGGTCACAGTGGCCTACATTCATAAAAAAGGTGAGACTCTCCTTGTTAAGGGTAAGTGGGAGATGTGCTAGCATGCACATTTAGGAAAAGAACCTGTATTTGCTGGATATGATTTTCCAGTGTATTCCCTGGACTGATTATCTGGCATTACTGTGATCGACTCTTTCAGTGAGTGCTCTAGGACTTTCTTGTTAGGATGTACGCAGTGAAAGTCAGAATTCTTTATTTTTATTTTTCCAGTAAGTTCTCACTTTTTAATAAGCTCTTGCCAGGTAGAAACCCCAAATAAGCTCTCCCCATTTCCATCCTGATTCCACCTCCATGTGCTGACAGCCCACCTCTGCTTTCTGCAACTCTTTGATCCCTCTTTGGTCTACAGCTCTGTCATCCTGTTTTCAAGGTCTTCAAGTCTTCAGCTGGCCCAGAGAGAAAGTGGAACAAAAAAGCATGCTGAAAACATTGAAAGAGAGGACTAGAGGAAAGAAATGAAAGGAGATGAGTAGGCATGGGAAAAAGAGACAGAACAAGCACAGCTGAGGAGTCAGAACAGACTACATGTTTATTTTCTTTTAAAAGGTAAGTAAGTGGTTATGTTTTGAAAGGCTCCTGCTGTTGTTCTTTCCAGCAGTAAAGCCTTTTATATGAGGGTTTTTTTCATTTTCCTGAATCTTTTTTTCTTTTAAAGGAAAAAAATTATTTAAAGGTTTTGTATCTGACCTTTCAGAACATGGTTGTTGGATTTTTGGACCCTTGGATGATAGTGTCTTATTATGTACATATTTGCATAATGAGTTAATTAGGCATAATATGTGGTTAAAATTATCTACACTGCACTCTTTTTATAGAAAGTCAGCACAGTTTTCTGCTAAATTGTCTCCTTAGACACCCTCTTGGGGGCCTGTTAGGATTCCCTGCCTGCTTTCAGATGTCACTAACTTCTGGCGATTAATTTCTGAGCTCTAATACATTATAGATGCAGTTTATACATATAAACACCTCTTACTCTGTAATTTTAGGATTATGTAATAATCTAATTTTATATTTATTAAAAAAGAGGGAACAAGAAATTCAAGCCTCCATGATTACAATGAAGAATTTGATAATGTCATCAAAATCCATCTAACATGTACAAAAATTAAAGCAAACAAACAAAGAAACCAACCACCCACCCATCTTTGCTATTAATGGTGCCCTGCACATAATGTCTTCTGTTAGTTCCTATGACAGTAATGTTTTCTGTCCTTCCCATTTGGAGGTGCAATGCCACTGTAAGTGACATTCAACCTCATGAAGCTGTTTCTTACATCTATCCCCAATCTTCATATCAACCTAACATCTATTACTGTAGACCTGTGGTCCTCAGGGTTCTCCGTATTGATACTCTTATTCTCCTCAAGCATGGTGAGGTTGATTTCTGATACTGTGTTCACTGGCCAAGACAGGATGCAACTGATTGCCTAATCTTTCGTATTAACTCTGCCCTTTAAAGCTGGCCCTGCTTTGAGCAGAATACTAGGCCACAGACCTCTGTAGACCCCTTCATACCTCCTTTATTCTATAAGTATTTCACCATTTGTCCTGTGGTGTGACAGTGAATATTGATGCTCCAGCCATTTCAGCAATGGATTATAGGAATCAGACAGCAGACCTAGCTTCTCTGAACCAGAGCTAAAGCTTCTATATCACACTTCCTTGTTCCTCTTAAGCATGGTGGTCTTTTTTTTTACCTTGGAACTCAACCTAGAACAGCAGATTTTATTGCCTTTTCAGATATTCAGGCTTATTCCATGTTTCTGATGACTTATGCAGACATATTCCAACATCTCCCTTATGGCATTGCATTCCCAGTACTCTCTGTGCCATGACTTTACATTACATGCACCTGTTATTATATTGCTTGCTCCAGGTGATGTTAAAGGAGAGCTGTGAGTAAGAGGAAATAACTTTAGATGTGTGACCCTTCTTCTTCCTGATCATACACCTTGCTAATTTCCTACCATCCCTTTCTCCCACAGGCATGTAAAGCTCCTCTTGAAAGCACTGGCCACTGCCCAAGACAAGATGCTAGACTAGGTGGAGTGACAGCCTAATACATTTAATCAAGATGTAGGTAAGAACTGAATCCAAAGTAGAATTTAGAAAGCAGCCCTTAGGGCACATTTGCTGGTTTTTTTTCTCTATTAAAATCCAGAGAAGAAAAAACTGCTTATAGTTAATTCTTAGTGTCCTCAGTGTTGTGCACAGCGGGAGGAATAAATGACTAGTAGCCAATGCCAGTATGTGCCACAGAAGGACACAAGCACAAGTCTACATGTTGATTTATACAGCAACCACTTTCCATAGGCCACTCTTCTGGCCTCAGAACCAATTGTGGATGAATCATGTTGTTTCAACACAGTGAAATAATTAAAAAAAATATAAATTGGATTACAGTTTTCTTTAAACAGTATATCCTTGTAGTTATTAGCTCCAAATCTGGAACACATGTACATCTTCTAAATGAAATCATATAGACAAAAGCACTGGCTGTCGAACAATAATCTATAGCTGCATAAAATTAAAGTATTTTCCATTCACCTTTGCATAAGTTACATTATGCCAACTTTAATTCACAGGCCCTTTATGGACAGATTAAAAAGTATGGTCATTCAGCTGTAGAGTTAGTTGTTTAGACAACCATAGAAAAATTTAACAAGTGGGATAGGAAGAGATAAAATATCAGATATTCTGCAATGGCCATGAGGAAAATGGATGATTTTTTATATGCCTGCTATGTGTAATACAGTGTTCAAGATTTACAGATTTTACTCAACAAATTCTGACTGCTAGATTTGAGGATCAGGAGGTTCTTTCCTAAAAATGGCATGGCTACTGGGTGAAGCAAAGGCTTTCCACTTTTCTAAATGGGAAGAAATCCAAAGATGAAAAAGAGGTGTGAAAGGTGTATAAATTGGGTAATTCCATCAGAGTGCCTTGGGGAAGAGTACTCCATGGAGTTTCCATGGAAAGCAAATGCACTGTTGGCAGAATCAGCAAACAGTTGGAAAATTTCTGACAAAAGTGTTTTTCATTAAAATGTGTAGATGGATTGAGACAGACATCTCCTGCGGAATTGTACCACTTCTGATAAACTTCCAGTGCATAAGTTTCCCAACAACAGAGTGGAATTATTTTGTCTCTTTTTTGCACTGCGGTGATAGAAATGATTCTTCTTGCCCTCCTCAGCACATGTGCTATTAGGGCTCTTACCTGGTACAGCTTCCTGCTCTGCTTAATTCCCACCCCAGCTGTGAACTTGGGTTGTCAGTTTCCTATTTGATTAAAAGCAAGTCTTCTGCCATGGCAATTCCATGTTCCACTTCAAAAAGGTGGGAAGAAAGAAGTTCTATAGAGCAGTGCTTATGCAGTGATGAATTTGAGTCCTTATTCTTGTTTCCTAGCTACTGCTATTATTATAGAAACCTGGCAGATTTCTGGTTTATCTCAGATATTCTTACCAGGCAGAAAAAGGATTTTTTTTTTGTCCATTAACACTTGACAAGTTCCAAAGACATGCTGATTGAACAGGATGTCCCAGTATCCCTTCCTCAGCCCTCTGTATAAAAGCATAATTATTCAAGAAAGCCGCTCTGTCCCCCTAGGTAAAGGAAGGGAAAGAGAATAATTTGACCATGTGGGTTTGCCTACACACATGCATCCCTGTAGTTGTTTGAAACTATTCAGAAAATCGTGTGCTTAAGAGAGATGGTGGTGTAGTGTCGTCAACCGTATCACAGAGAGACAACCCAGAAGAGACAATTTTGAAGGAAAAAACTGTAAGTAAGAAAAGCAGTTTTGCAGAAATCAACATGGAAACAGAACCTGCTATAATCATCCTGAAAGGGACAGATGTTGGCATTCCACCCTCAGCTCGTCTGGCCTATTATATCTCTGAATGCTGAAGCTCACAATGCTTTTTTCCCTCCAATTTCAGAAGTGTCAGACAGGAAACACAGTGCCAGTGAAAAACCTTATACAGATCTCTTGTTAGCTAACTGTGGTGTTTTGTTCCACAGTAACATGTCTGCACAAGCCGTCATTGTGTCAGTCATAATTACCACCTATTCAGTGCCTCCCTTCAGGTTTTATCACCTTTGCAGTATTAAGCAGCCAGCTGCAGGAAGCAAAGTCGGCTGCCCTGGAGCAGCAACCGTCAGCCTCTGGGTTTCAGGGTATAATTGCTGCAAGAACACAAACATATCCCTCCTCCCTGCACAAAACACCCAATCCATTCCTTTCTTTGGCAGATATCAGAGCCCCATCAAATGCATGTTCTGCCCAGGATAGGAAAATAGACCCTATCTTCTGCAGGGGCAACTTAGCATGGACTGTATGGGGGGACTGTGCCACCACATACCACCATGTGAAAATGTGGCATTGTACTCCTGATTGGAAAGGGGCTCCACCTTTCCTGTAAGTCACTTTTTATCCCTTCTGTGAAAGACATGAGCTATTTCTGGCACGGAAGTCTAACTATAGCATCCTATATATCCCTCTGCTGTAGGAACTTCTCCAGAATAAAAATTTGGAGTACTCCTATCTAAACTTGATTTACTCTTCAAGACCTATGCTTTGGTGGAAGAACAGGTAGATGAGTCCTTGTCTGGGTCAGCCAGGCATTAAAAAAATGGAAATGCAAAACTAGGAGGCAGTTGCAGAGCATTCCTATCAAGCTGATGCATGGTTTCAAATGCCAATTCCCTTTCCTCTCTTCCCATCCCATTTACTGTGTTTTATAAGTTCATCTTTGGCTATATGACTCAGACCAGCAGGCCTGCCAACGATCACATTGCATGCTGTTAACTGCTTATGACTTCTGGACAGGGTGCTGCTGTGATTGTCACATTCTTTCTCTTAAACGTATGGCGCATGGAGACACAAATTACTCCAGCAAGCAGCTTTCCATGATAGATTTTTGCATACCGATTGCAGATGCTGTTTGAGGCTTCTGAGATTGGTGTGGTCCAATCCTGGAAGCAGCGAAAAACCTGTATTCTGAGAATTACCTGGCATGCTGGGTTTCTTAGGCTCAATTAGGAAAGCCAAAGGTGCTGTCAGACTTTTCTCAATCTGATAGAAAGGCTACCAACATGGGGTAAGTACGTGTATCATGCTGGAGAGACAAGAATGACAATAAAAGCTTTAAAGTAGTGGGAGTAAGAGGTATTGAGAGGCTAACTGAGGAGAAAAAGCTATTTCATTTTAATCAGGAACAAGGAGGAACTTAGAGAATCAGAAGTCCTGCCTGATTAAGGTCCCCACGTTGTGACGCTTGTAACATATTTGTCAATACAGCATATTTGAGTAGGAAATTTTCTGAGGTCCTCCTTGCACGAGACATTCTGAGCTAACTTTGGGACCAAGTAGCTACAAGAAAACATGAAACTGTTGACTATTAAAACTAATATTCAATAAAACCAATATTCAATAAAACCAATATTCAAAAAAGTAAAAAGATAGCATAGAACCCTCGAACACCTGCAAATGTTCCTCCAAAGATGCACAATTCATTTATGTGCTGAGGGAAAGGGATGAAAAGTGCTCTTCTTTTCCTCTCTTCCTGTAAGTTGATTCTTCTTTGGTTTTGAGTCTGAATCAAACAAAAACACATTGCATGACTTTCTTGCCACAAAATTCTGTACTGATATCCAACATTGACATAGCCTGATGAGGATAAACAGGATAATGATCATTGTCTCATCCTTTTGGTGAGGCAGAACATAGCATAAATTTGAAGCAGGGAAAACCTGGAGGAGAAATAGGTTCTAATTTTGTAGAGATACATTGCACTCTTCATACTCACACATTTTTCATCAGACTTGCTGGACTTGAAAAGGTGCAAGCAATACAGTAATAAAAGCATCCAACTTCACCAAACTCTTTAATGAAGAAGAGTTAATCATAAATCTTTAAGTAGAAAATCTGAGCAGCTGCTACACTTCACTAACTGCTGCTTTCACTTGTAATAGCATTTCATACTGCTCAACTGCACTGTAGTGCATTGACATGAGTAGCATTAGTTCTGGATCCACTGGAAGCTAGCTTGTGGGAAATCTCTAAAACTTCTTGGCATTTTAAGCTTCTGAAGTGCTGTGATCCACTAGGATGTGTTGCTGTATGGAAAGAGGTAGGTATGTAAATGGTCACCAATGACACTATTTTTCTTCATTTTCCTTGTCCTCTCGATGTACCTTCAGATTTGAAACTCTTTTCTTTCCTCAACTTCCTTGCTTACAACTGTATGTTTCTCTTGATTTCTTTGAAAAGTCCTTTAAACAAGTACAGTTGAATTTCCTAATGTGACTGCAAAGAACCATTCCTGTCTCAATTTACCTCTTCACAGCTGGCTGGTCTCCTGCCATCAGTCCTATGCAAGTACAGTATTATCCCATTGTCCTACTTTGCTCCCAACAAGCTATGAGCTTGTTCATGAGTGTTATTTGTCTTGTGAAGTTAGTGGACCGGAGTAGGAATTCACTCAGTACATTGATAGAAGTGGAATGAACTGGAAAAGAAAAAATTAGTCATTAACAATTGCCAAGACGCCCAACTAATCTAAGTACATTTCATAGTTGAAACAACTTGAGCTAAGTATGGACTGGAATCCCAATTCTGAATAATCTGGAGATGTAGGCAAGCTCAAATCTAAATCAAGATTTTGTTGTCTACTGTTTTCTTGAAACATAGCAAATACAGTCAATGAAACAAAAAATACACGTAAAAGATCTCTAGCTTCTGTCATGGTACAGTAGGAAGCTGTAATTGAATATTTCCAAGGATCCTCTTAGCTGGTAGTTAATCTGGAGTAGGTGGGATACATACCAAGAGCAGTGTTATAGTCTCTGGATGAACAGAAACTGTTTGGAAACAGCTGCTTGTTAGTGAGCCAAACCAAACATGGACACTGTGGGCTTGATGGTGTGTCGTGGCCGTGTTTTCACTGAAAGCTCACCAGGATGCTGTGTCAGACAAATGCGCTCCCATAGTACAGGTGGCAGGAAAGGTTTGGCCATATGGAGAGGTATTGCTGTTTCTGTCACTGCCAAAAGCTGTACTAGATGCCCACAAAACATAAAGATGATTTGCTGCAGTCTAAGGGGCTTGTTAACTGTTGTACATAACATAATGAAAGCAAAAATGTTTTCCTTTGTCAGAAGGAGTGGTATTAAGAAAATGGTGGCCAGTATTAAGTGAATGATGCAGTTACATAAGGAAGGAGTTATAGGAAGGCATTATCAATACTGCGGCCAAGGTAGAGTAAATACTTGCCACTGAACCTCTGCCCCCCCATCTTCTCTGGGCATATCACCAGAAAGATCATGCCTATTGTCACTCTTACTATGAGTTATGTGACTCCCTCACTTTTGAACTGGGCTCTGACCTGTGATGCCCTCTGTGTCACTCACAGTTAAGCAGTAAGTGAGTGAATTTGTATCTGCAGGCACAGCAATGAAGACAGTGACCTGCCAGCTTTTCAATTCTACCCCCAATCAAAGAGGGATTTATTTCCTGATAGGAGTGTAAAATTTAAAGAAAATGGAGTTTAAGTCTTCAGATAGCGGCTGGACATCATCCTGACTCTAAACTTAACTGCACACCGAAGATAGCCCAGATCCACCCCAGGTATCACTCCTGTGGTACCATTGCACAGCAGTTAACTTTCATCAGGGGCAGAAAGTCCATTTTTAAACCTTTCACAATACATGGCAGGACTTTCCTGCTCAGCCAAAGCTGTCCAGGGAGCTGAAGGTAAAGTGGGATAATCCTCCCAGAGCCCAGGACTATGCCATTTCTTTATGCCCACCCCAGTGCCCTGAAGGGAGAGGTGGCTTGCCAGGAGCAAGTGAGAACACCTCACAGCCTCTCCATGTAGGTGGTATGAGTTTTCAGATTGATAGATATAAGCAACATATTGCTGCTTGGCCCCAGACTGCATTGTTGTGTGTGTTGATTTAGCCCAAGTGAGCTGCAGTTCCTCCAAATAAGTATGTTCACTGATGCTATGACTAAACTGCTGGTGAGCTATGCTCGCACATGTACAAATGCTGTGATTTTTGGTACCAGTTACATCTGCAGCATCTCTAGATGTCATCTATACTGGGCACTACATCTAAACTACACATGAAAGACATTTGTGAAGCCTGTTTTTAAAAGGCACTAGAACTTCAGCAATTGATTTCTGTGCTAACATCACTGGTTCACTAAGGTATTTTAAAATGCTTAATCTAAATACTTAAGACAATAATAGCCACATGGAGAGAATCCAAAAATAGCACTGACAACTCATGTTAATACCAGTTCAAAAACCTTGAGCTCTAGATTGCATGTATACAGCTGTTTGGTGGCCACACCAGACGGGGCTGGTACCCAGACAGTGCAAGAAGCAGCCTGCAGGCAATATGATGCCATGGCTTTCCAGAAGTACAGCTTCCCATTGCTCTTATGTGTGTCTAGAAGCTTCTTGAGTAAGATCATGGACAGAAAAAGATATTTCCTCACAGCAGTTCACACAGGAAGCTTTAGATTGTGTTGCAGCCTGAGGGATGTTATTGGCATCCTCTGAGCCCTCCACAAAACAGCAGAAGGGAAAGACCTTTCCTGCCAGGAAGGCTAGCTGCTCTGAGGAGGAAAGTTGTCCTGAGGTGGGAATATTGCTTCTGGTGATTAAATTACTTCACCTAGAGCTCGATAGCATGACTCCACAGGGCGCTGTGTAGGACCATGTGGATAGAGGTGTTTAGCAATGACAGTGTTTCTGAATCAGCAACCACCCACTAGTTTAATCCAAGGAACCTAATTCCCTTATTCGATATAAACACAACCCAAATCTGGTTAGAATCAGCTAGGTGAAGTCTGAGCTCTTTTCTTCAGCTCCATGGCATTTTCCTGTATTTCCCATAAAGTGGCTCAAATGTGGTACCTTTCCCAACCATTCCTGGGCTGGCAGTCATGCAAGAGATTTTCATGTGCTTGCAAAGCTTCCTTCTTCCATCTAGCTGGGAATATGAGGAAAACAGACTGTCTCAAAACAGACATCTACTTTCCATTCTGACCAAAACCACTGCATGGTGGGAAGATGGCATTTCCTCTGCTCACCTTAAAAGTGGCTTTTTGAGAGCTCTGCTTCTGCAGTGATTTGGATTCAGCTTGGCTGAATTTACTTCTATAAGTTGTTCAAAGCAGGAATCCTTTATAGATGAGAAACAAAACACAGAATTTCATTTGTGGGGATAGTTCAGCCCTGGGAACAGCAACACCTTGTTTCTGAACATCATGGGACAAGGACAACACTGCTCTTATTCAGAGACCAGGGCAGAAGGAACATTAATGCTGATGTCAAAAATGGGAAACATTGGAATGGGAGCTCAGTTTCCTTCTCAAGCACTCAATGCCATGGGTCTAATGGACTGGTCAAAAAACAAGTCTCCCAAGCAAATCAAAAAGAAATTCGACCTAGTGCGATGGAACAAAGAAATTAAAACATTAAGTCTCACAAGCATTCAGTATCACAAGGTACAGTATCTAACAACAGCAAATACAGTCGTAAATATACCTTGATTCTGACCTCCCATGGAGGTGTGAGCACAGCACAGGGACAATATTTAATTCTTCCTTGCTATTTTCTCTGACTTTGATTCACTGCAGTGTAATTTTGGAAGCTTAATGTAGTTTCATCAGCCATGGCTGCAGCTAGAAAACAGGGCAAGTTATCAGAAGATACAGCAGGGAGATAACTAAAGGAAGTTTCATTTGGCACAAATTATCAGGAAATCCTCCCAAAATCAAGCCATCAAGGAAATGATGGAAGTACATGATTTCAATAAAAATGGACACATGCATATACCACAACACACACAAACACAAAAACACAGCCCCTTTCCATCCTCTGAAAGGCAGTTTGCTTTTTTATGGGGCTACTACAAATATTATAATGTATCCTGGCTCCAGTCCAATCCTCTTCAACTGCTGGCAGCCATTTTATATCATCCCTGTTGTAAGTTTCACTGTCCTGGGGATGTCAGTGCTTTGATTTTTATTTTGCCCTGATCCAAACCTGGCAGTCTGGTGCAGTTCAGGGGCTGCACCCACATCCGTTCGAGTGCAGCAGTTGGCACATCTGCCCCAAATGGGTCTTTACTATTTATTGCCTGTGCTGTGGGAGTCCCCAGCAGCTGCCTCCTGAGGAGGGCTGTGCTCCCAGGGAGCAGTTTGTGCTGCCAGCAGCTTCTACAGCAGAAGCAAGAGGCAACCCACGCCTGGGGACCAACAGGAGCAGTATATAGGGAAGTGGGGGTGTAAGGTGGAAATTACAAGTAATAAGTTTGTAATGTGATTGCCTGTGAGCATTGAAATGGCTTCAATTTTTTGTGGGGTCTTAGAGAGCTGAGTGCCCCCAGCCCTCCACACAGACACCAAGGTCACCTTGCAAGAGGTGCACTGTGGGGATCTGTCCCAACAGGCCCTGTCTTCATCTCCAGTTTGTCTGGATGTGTAATTTCTGGCACACCTCAGTGCATCTGATTGTTGTCACTATCAGAGCACGAGGACAAATTGCTGACAAAGATGGCCATGTAAAAATGCACTTGGGTGTAATAGCAGTGGGAATATTTCAAACAGCTTCCTGTTGTACATCTTCAAGAGAAATGGAAGCACTTGTGCTTTATAATTGTGCAACCATATCACTGAATATGGATAGTGCTTACAAGTGCTGTGTAATGTGTCGACAACTCCGCACACATAAATATGTATTGTTTTTCAGGCACCACCCAGGCAAATAGAAACATGGAGTTTTAATTTTAATTTCTTTTGCAATGTCTGAGCAAACTGCTACAAGACTTGTAAAGAAAAGTGGGAGTCCTAATGACTTAACTGGCAATTCAAGACAAAGCACCTCAGATCTCTGAGCTCAGCTCCCTAAAACATTCCTATGTACTGCTCACATCCCACCAATTATTCACATTTTTTTTTTTTTTTTTTTTTACAGCTATTAGCTCTTGAACTCCCTGGTTTGTTCTTTACCTCTTCTGGGTGTCTTTTCAAAATTCAGATCATTCCAAAGTAAAAGCTTTAACCGTCCTTTAAACCAAGATTCCTCTTTCTTTCTGACATCAAGACTTCTCTCTTTGATAACTTCAAATGTTTCTCCCTCTCTGCAGTGAGTACTTAATTCTTACCAATGGTTTTGCTTTTCTATCTCACATAGCAGTAGCACCCTGAATGTTGTTTATCTGCTTTGGCCATTGCTGCCTTCTTTGCCTTTCTTTTTTTTTTTCCACTTTCAACTAAATTGATAAAAACAACACCACTATCTGTTCAACATTGTTGTGTGGGATTTTGTTTTTCCTAATTATGTAAAAATACACTTGCTATTTAAACTCAATTAAAGCTTCCTTTATGTGTTAGCAGAGCTGCACAACGGAGGTTTTCATCCTGTGCTCTGACTGTGAAACAAATAAAAGCCAAGCTTTTGCATCTCATAACCTTGAAGTTCTCTGAGTAGTTTCA